ACCCTTGATGAGTTTTATAGAATTTCAGCTTGTAAAAGTGCACAGGAAATGTGGGAAATGCTAAGGGTGACCCACGAAGGAACCGACAACGTCAAAAGAGCACGTAAAAATTCTTTAATCCAAGAATACGAGATGTTCCGAATGCAACCAGGCGAAACGATATTTGACGTACAGAAACGTTTCACTCATATCGTGAACCATCTCACCGGACTAGGTAAAATTTTTGACGTTGATGAATTAAATGTTAAAATCTTGAAATCTCTCGGATAGGAAATGGCAACCAAAGGTGACGGCCATCTCGGAGTCACAAAATCTTGCCACTATGTCTATGGCGGCGTTGTTTGGAAAGCTTAGGGAGCATGAACTTGACCTTGGAAGACTAAATGAGGAAGAGGGTCAATATCAAAAGAAGAACCTTGCTTTCAAAACCGAGATTTCAAAAAGCAATAATAAGAAAGAAGAAGAAGAAGACTCCGAAAATGATGAAGAAGAGATGAGTCTTTTTATAAAGAAGTTCACCAAGATGATGAAAGCAAAAGGAAGACATCCTTTCAAAGGTAAGGGAAAGGTAAAAGAAAATTCTTCCGTTAATATAAAATGCTTTGGTTGTGGTGAAGCAGGGCATATGAAGACCGAATGCCCAAACAAGAAAAATGATGAACATAAGGGCAAAAAGCAATTCAAGAAGAAAGCATATATTGCTTGGGATGACAAGTGATTCAAATTCAGAATCAAGCGACTCGTAAATTGAAGCAAACATTTGCTTGATGGCAAATAACAACAATTCTTCGGATGTTGAGGTTAGTGATTCCGATTCATCCTCTTGTGAAGAAAATGATCATGATGAATTACAAAATGCTTATAATGAGTTATTTACTGCATTTATGGATATGAAAAAGGAATATAAAGTAGTAAAGAAGAATCTAAGAAAATCTGAAAAGGAAAATGAGTCCTTAAAATTGAAAATTGCATGTTTAGAAGAAAAGGAGGTAGCTAATACGAAAATTGTATGCTTAGATGAGAATAAGGACTTAGCTTGTGCAAATTGTAAAGAGCATGAATATGACATAGATATTCTTAACCATTTGCTTGACAAAGCCGAAAAAGAAATTGATGATCTTAAGAAGAATGAAATGGTTTTTGCTCAAAATAATGTAAATCATAGAGTTCCTTTGAAAAAGAGTAAATCTAAAAAGAAAAGAATATGGGTAGAAAAAGGAACTAGAGCATGTCATGTTAATAATGTATCTTATTCTAAAGCTACTCCAAATGCATGCTTCTATTGTATGAAACAAGGTCACACTTCAAATAAGTGTAAAATTAAACATTTTGGTATTCCAAAAGGTAAATATATTTGGGTTCCAATAGTTAAATAAATCTGTTTGTCTCTTTTATTTATTCAAAGAAAATGGATCATTTTGTATGTTTTAAACAAAATGCTTAGGTAAAATCATTTTATCTTTTCTATCGCATAAAGATTCTTCTCTTAAAGATTTTTGCGAGAAGCCTCTAAAATTGTTTTAAACAGACTCAAAATAAAGTATTTTTACAAAATCTTTCTTAAAACATGTTTTTAACTCGATGCAGCTTTGAAAGAACCAAATAAAATCACTTAGAGTGGTCAAAGAAGTGTTTTTACAGACATTTTAATCGATACAACTGGTTTTTAATCGATTAAAACCATTTAGAACTCATTTTGACCGATCAGATTGTTATTATGAGCGGTCGAAACGCTTAAATCGATTAAAAACACGTTTCAATCGATTAAAATTACTTAAAGGGTCTGGATGATCGATCAAAATCAAATTATGACCGATTAGAAGCAAATGTGATCGATCAGATTTTAATTATGAGCGGTCAGAATTTTTCAATCGATTAAAAACACGTTTCAATCGATTAAAATCACTTAAAGGGTCAGGATGACCGATCAGATTTTTATTATGACCGATTGAGTCAGGATGACCGATCAGATTTTTATTATGACCGATTGAGTCAGGATGACCGATCAGATTTTTATTATGACCGATCGTAACTCTTTTAATCGGTTAAAAACTCGTTTCAATCGATTAAAACAACTTAAAAACTTTTTCTACACTGCGTTTTAATCGATTAAAAGATGTTTTAACAGATTAAAACTGCACTTTTAACAGATTAAAAGAAACTTTTAACAGATTAATTAAACCAAGCAGCTTTTGAAAATCTTCTATTGAAAACAGCTTGGCTTGAACTTTCTAAACTCACATTGAATATAAGTTTTCACACATCCTTAAGCAATCAATTGAGCAACTGCAGTGCAAACACTTTGGAGATCAAAGATGTGTTACTTGTTGATATATTATTGGATCAACTGATAGTTTGTTATGTGTAGAATTTGCTAAGATAATGCAGGGAGAGTTTGAAATGTCTATGATGGGAGAATTGACATTCTTCCTTGGACTACAAATCAAGCAACTTAAAGATGGCACTTTCATCTCTCAAACTAAATACCGCAAGGAAATTCTCAAAAAGTTTGGTATGGACACCTCTAAGGAAGCTAACACACCCATGGGAACTTCATGCTATTTAGACAAGGATGAATCAGGTTTGGAAGTAAATCAAACTATGTATAGAGGTATGATAGGATCACTATTATACTTAACCGCTAGTAGACTCGATATTATGCATTCTGTTTGTGTGTGTGCTAGATTTCAGTGCTTGTCCTAAAGAATCTCATTTAATTGCAGTAAAACATATTTTAAAATACTTAAAAGGAACTACTGGATTTGGCTTGTGGTATCCGTCTCGATGCTTGTATTAGTTTATTAGGATATTCTGATGCTGATTATGGTGGATGTAAAATTGATAGGAAAAGCACTAGTGGGACATGTCATTTGTTAGGTTCATCCTTAATATCATGGCATTCTAAGAAACAAGCATGTGTTGCTTTATCTACCACCGAAGTCGAATATATTGCAGTACTGGTAGTTGTTGTGCTCAAATTCCGTGGATGAAACAACAATTAGAGGATTATAGCATATATTTAAATGACATTCCATTAATGTGTGATAATACGAGTGCAATCAACTTAACTAGAAATCCAAGAATGCACTCTAGGACTAAACATATTGAGATTAGACATCACTTTTTAAGAGATAATATCACAGAAGGAAACTGTAAGATAGAGTATGTAGACACTAAACGTCAATTAGCAGATATATTTACTAAGCCTCTACCCAAGGATAGATTCTATGATCTTAGAAGAGACTTAGGGATACTAGAAATAGCTTAAATTCTCGCTTAATTTGAATGATTTTGGATGATTGTTATGATTAAATTCGTGATGCAGGATATTCATAGGTTATAATGTGTAAAAACCTTAAAAAACTTAATATAGCCTCCGGAATAATCGATTATCGGAAGTGATAATCGATTATTTTTCCTCAAAACGTCCAAAACAGGGTATTCTCCTTCGGAATAATCGATTATCTCGTGAAATAATCGATTAAATGCCTCTAAAAATCGATTATTTACTGGAAATAATCGATTAAAGTTGTCTAATGTAGAGATAATTGATGAATTTTCTTTTGTTATTGTCTTGATGTTGTAAAATATGATGTTTCTTTCATGCTATGATTGAGGGGGAGCTTTCTCTAACTTATGCATATTTTGAGGGGGAGCTCTTATGATTGATGTTGCAGAGTTCTTTTTGATTATAATCAAAATAGGGGAGAAAAATTTAAAGCCTATGATTCAATATTAAATGTTATCTGGTATGTTTAATGTGTTTGTTAGTATGACAGATGAAACAGGTTATTACAAGGGCTTTAAAAAGATAATTTTGATCATCATCAAAAAGGGGAGATTGTTGAACATTCAAGGACTTGATGTTGCAAATAATGATCATGAAGAATGTTGATTTTGATGATGATCCAAGAGCTTAAAGACTTAGAGTATTGAAGATTGAAGATTGATGTTTTCCGTATTGTAATAACTCTGTTTTAGTTTGATTGAGTCCGTAATTATAGAGTCTAAGATAGCCTGTACATAGTCCGTAACTTAGAAGCTTCAAAATGCTCAAATTTATCATGCAGTGCTCGGCTTTAATCGATTATATAGGAAATAATCGATTAAAACAGATGAGAAAACCATTTTCAAGCATATACTCACTGTTTTAATCGATTAAAACATCAAAATAATCGATTAAAAGGTCAAATAATCGATTATTTCACCAAATAATCGATTAAACCGAGAGGATTGGGTTCTCGCGTATTTGGCTTCGTTTTAATCGATTAAAACTCCATTTAATCGATTATTTCAGTCTGTTTTTGTTTTTAAATTTCAAATTAACCCTATTTTCGAAAACCCAATTACCAAGAACCCTAGTTTCGAAATCTCCAATTCCTTAACCCTAATTTCCCTACTTAAACTCTGCTTTGGCACTCGTAAAAGAAGAACAACTCTTTCCATACAAAAGTTAAGTGCTCGTGAGTGCCGAGAACTGTTTGTTGCAAGGAAAGGGGGCTTTTGGAAACCTGGTGTGAGGCTAGAAGCGATAAGAATCACTAAGTGGAGTTCTTAGTGGATTGTGTGCTGTGCCGTCTCTAGGGAAAGCTGTTCTTCATCTCTTGTGGATTTCAAGAGAGGTGTTGTCTTTACTTTATCTCTTTGATTTGTAATCTGTTTATAACAATTTGTTCTTAGTGACAGCGTTAATCCTCTTTTGAGTGATTAGCAACTGGACGTAGGGTCTTTTGATCCGAACCAGTATAAACCTACTGTGTAATCTTCTCTACTCTTCTCTATTTACATTTACGCAGTTTTTAATCGGTAAAATTTGGGGAAAATTTTGAAAACCTAATTTTTATTAAGAAACCAATTCACCCCCCCTCTTGGTTTTTGTCCGACCACGCGAACATTCCGCTGCGCGATTCTAACAAGATGGCCTGAGGGACAGTGTGCTGGCTTTCTCTGAAAACGTGCCTGGGACAAATCATATGGACATGACCCAATACTTCGACACAATGAAGAACATTGGTACATCCTCCAAATGGAATGCTGTTTTCATTCCACATGGGCCTGGTGCTGTACAAGATGTTGCTTCACAGATCAGGACTGGTCTCCTCCAAGGAAATGCAACACACTGATGAACACCGACCTATCATACCATGATACCACAAGTGATTTACCTTCTCAACCATATCTATGTATCTTCTCCACTACACCACACCGCACGACAACTAATTTTATAAGTTTTTTTTTCTCTTTTGTTTCTTTTGTTTCTTTATGTATCCACCATTATGCATCAACTATCTAAACTTCTTTCTACATTTGTGTGATCTTTCCTTTGAAATCAACTGTTCAAGCGGCAACTTCTTTATTATGTATTATTGGTTGGACTCTGTATTCACATTTTATTATATTTTTTATTTTAATTTATTAGAATTATATATATATATATGTATATTAATTTTAAAATATAAATATTTATTTTTGAAATTATAAAATTTTGAACATAAATAAGTATGAAATAGCATTTAAGAAACAAAAAAAACTATAATTGAGAGAAAAAAAGAAATGTAATTTCTTTATTGATTTTATTTATTATTTTACATCAAAAAGAAAAAATTAAGAGAAATGTATAATTAAAAAATAGAAAAATAAAATATAATTTAAATATAAGTTATATTTCTTTTCTCTTCGATTATGTTAAAAAAATTAAATCTATGTAATTATCTATTCAATAGGTATAATTTTAAAAATATTAATTCGATTAGTCAATATTTAAAAACATTAATAACTACATGTATGTATGATTCAACTTAAAAAAAAAAAAAGAGTCATGAATATGTGTAGGTATTAATATTATTCTTTTAACCAGTCTAAGCTCATGAAAATGACTATATTTTAATTTTAAAACTAAAAAATAGATTTGAATATAATTTAATTATAAATTTTAATTTTCAATTTTCAATTTTCAATTTATGAAAATAATTAAATTATATATATATATATATATATATATATATATTGAAATTGTTAATTAAATCAATAATAATAACATATATAATAAATATATAATTATGAATAGTTTATTATTGATATAGGTATATTAATTATAATGTGATACATTTGCCATGATGTTTTGGCCTCTAATTTCTACAGATGGATTGTGACCTTTCATAAAGTGTATACAAGCTGAATTGGTTAGGTGAAAATGCGGATTTATTTTATTCTTCCGTTCTATAAAATCTTCACTTTTATTTATATTTTTTAAAAATATCTTTTAATTTAATTAGTATTTATATAAAACAACTGTCACAAATGAAAGAAAAAAAAATGATCTCTTATACCATATAAACGTTAATTAAATTACATCTTTAATAACTCAATATAAATTTAATTTAATTTAACGGTCGAATTTCAATTATAATCTTATATATATATATATATATATATATATATATATATATATATATATATATCAAATTTCAAATAATTTAAATTTTTTCTATTTAATAATAAATATTTGCATATTTTTTAGACCATATTATACATTAAAATTAAATTATGTAATAAGTTTCTAAACATTTTTCTGTTTGAAATTTTGCATTCATAATTAATATAAGAATATGAAATTTAAAATTAAATTTTATTTTTGTTAAAATATTGAAGATGTAATTTCAAATAAATTTGAAAACAATGATACACGTTCAACCAATCTTTTTATATAAACAATCATCTTATAACTCTATTTAATAATAAACATAAAATTTTAATTTTTCTTGTTCTTATTCCATTGTTGGTTTGACTTAATGAGATTTCAACTTTTATATATATATTTATTTGACACCTTCCCTTTCTACATAAGACCATAAAAATGTAATTTGAGTTTTATTTTTACTACTTTGATTTATCTTTTAAAAGCTCAATTTAATATTTTATATTCTTCTAAAGTCAATCATCTCGTAAAAAGGAAATTGGTATTATTTCAGACTATTTTAAAAATTGGATCATATCGATTTAATTAAAAGTTAGTTTAGAAATAATTACTTTTAAATAATTAAACTTTAAATAAATCAGTATAAATCTTGTAAAATTGAAAAATTTAACTAAATTTTTAATATAATTTTTTATAAAAAATATAATATTTTATTTTTTTTATTTCATTAATTTTAAATAATAATTATTTGATTATATTTTATATTTATCTTTCGTTACAAGATTGTAATTTTTATTATTTTAATTATGATTATTAATTTATTTATTTTATATTTAGTATATTATAATATTATTTATTTATTAAATTCGAATTAAACTCTATTTAAACTTTGAATTTATGTATTGGATTCACTTTGATTTTAAAAATTTAGCATTTAGTTTTTAACAATGGTAGGCAAATTTATGACCATTCTATCAAAATTTTGAAAACGATTAATCTGGAGTGCATCTTATATTTCGAAAATACAAACCATTTAATCTAAATCATGCCATCACTCTTTCTTCATCAATATTTCCCCGTAACCAAAAATTCTAATAAAAAAACTTGACCCAACGTAAGCAGAGAGGAAGTATGTTATTACAAAAATATTATATTGATTTCGACTTTATTGAACAGAAAATAAAATTCAGTATGTAAATATCTACATGATCTCATATTCAATCCACAACTATATAATAACTTACATCTTCCTTTCCGTTGAAGAGGACTATATATATTAAAAAGTCTGTTTGGATTCTGAAAACAGAGAATATTGTAAACCTGTTTTGATTTTCTCTTATTTTTATTCATCTAAACTAACTCTTATTTTGCATCTTCACTCGTGTGCTTTTACGTTCCTGGGTACGTTAACGAGAAAACATGTATTTTATTGTCATTGTGTTGGGTGTTTATGTAGCTGTTGGGTGCTTTGTGAAGATGGGACAAGTGTTTGGTTTGCTACGTTGCGTGCAAGTGGAGCAGCCAATCGTGGCTATTAAGGAAGTGTTTGGAAAATTCAAAGATTTTCTTGAACCTGGCTGCCACTGTGTGTCATGTTATTTCAGCAGTTGTCTTTCTGGTGAACTTGCTTCGGGTGTCGACCAGCTAGATGTTCCTTGTGAAACCAAGACAAAGGTTCTTTCTTCCGTTCCTACTTTTATTTACCTTTTCTTATCCAGGCAAAATTGAAAATTAATGTCACTCCATTGTCTGCACTTGACATGAAGAAGGATATCGAGCCAGATAGGCGTGTGAAGAGAGCCATGAATGAGATCAATGCTGGTGTGTATTCTATATCTTGTTAATGAGTTTGTTTCAGTTACAGAGTTGATCATATTTACTTTTTCAAGTTTTGAAACAAAATAAATGTTAATTTCCTAGCTGAAAGATTTTGCTATCTCCATTCTTTGTCATTAGTTTTTATCATTATATAACTAAAAGTTCTATTAGTAAAGAAAGGAGTTGAATGTTATACATATATTAATTAGATAAAAAGCCTTGGTTTTTCATGGAGCTAACAATTCTGAACACAGATTCATATTTCATCATATCAAACATCCCAAATTCCTGATGTCATAACCATCATTCCACTTGTTGGTACCACCGTAAATAGATATTACAGACATTTTAGTCGAAGTTTTATCTAGTTTGAAGAAAAAATTATTTGATGCTCTACATGTTTCTTTTACCTACACAAATAGCTGGAAGATTGAGGGTGGCCTCAAGTGATAAAGCAGAAGCAGAGAAGATATTAAAAATAAAGCGAGCAGAAGGGGAGGCAGAATCAAAGTACGAAGGAGGTCAAGCCATAGTAGATGAGATGAGGGACGGTGTGTTGGTTTTCTCTGAGAAAATGCCTGGGACAACACCAAAGAATATCATGGACGCGGTTATCATGACCGAATATTTTGACACAATGAAGGACATTGGTGCATCCACCAAATCCAGTGGTGTCTTCATTCCATATGGACCTGGTGGGGTACAAGATGTTGCTTCACAAATCAGGGATGATTATCTCCAAGGAAATACCACAAATTCTTGAATATTCACTTCTTACCACTAGTAGTTCAGCTAGACCGTAGCACAAAACTTAGTTGCAGTTCTTTAGATATTTTTGCTGTTGTCCTTCAATTTCGTAATCTGCTAAATAAAGTTGTGTTAAGGTTAATTAACATAGGATGTCGAGTGAAGCCATTCAATGTTCAGTGTCTTTCTAGTTCCATATTATTCTAACACATATATGTTATTCATGTTCTCCACTTAAAAGATGAGGATTTTGTCATGCCAGCCAAGAGGGATGACATTGGATTTTTAAAAATTCATAAATAAGATCTATTACTTTTCTTTATTTATAAGTATTTAGCAAAGCAGATTTTCAAGTTGAGTTAGGTTTTTGAACATATATTTAGACTTCAAATATACAACAAGTAAATAAATTATGGATAATGTGGTCGTGTTGATTATGCTTTAGTCTAAACCAGCCAGCAACATTTAGTCAAAATCCAGTTGAAGACGCATCAACCATAGTGGAGCCAAGAATGTTGCATCTAATACTGCGCTGAACATAGTCCAAACCAAACCAAAGAAACATTTTGCACATCTAAAAACAATATCTAATTTATATTCAAGTCAAATCTTTAAATCAAATTTGAAAAAAAAATATATGTAGATTTGAAACAAGTCCAATAAAATATTGGTCGAATTTAAAATAAAAAATATAAATTTAGATTTAAAATCATTTGAATAAGTATAATTTTAGATTAAATTTAATAATATTTTACTGTAAAAGATGTCATTTAATTACACGTTTTTAAAATTATTATTTGGAAAAAAATATTTTAAAAATTATATTTTAGGTGATTCTTATTTGTTGGAAATGTATATTTTTTTTTCAAAATTTATCTTCATATATATATGTATGTATGTGACATTATATAAAAAAAAGTGGCAAGTAAAACTGTTAAATGGATTAGGTTATCTTGATAAAAACTGAACTATATATAAAAGGAAATGAAGAGAGTAAAATGATTAGGTTAAAAAGGAAACAAGTAAATGAATGGCTATTATGGTGGAGAATTAGAAGAAAATGGAGGGTTAAAAGGAGCTGACTGGCATATCAGTGATTCAACTTTCAATGATGTTTCAATGGAAGAGAAGAAGAAACAAAGGAAAAGAACGGTGTATGAGAAATACAAGAATTTATGTGTCCTATATGCCCTGAAACTCATAACATATATGATGACTATTTAGAATATTAATAGCCATTAGTATACCTTAATTTCTCTCAATCACACAGGTTAACCATCTTTCCACACACTATTTTTGGTTCCTTCAAACGAGGAACACTATTTTTAAAGGTGATGGATATGATGCTTCATTCCATTATGGTTGATGCTGGTTCGTTGGTTTCACTATCCATTTTTAATTTACTTGTCCTAATCGTGTTCTTTAAAATCAACCATCGCAATTGACAACGTCAATTGCGGTCGAAAAAGTCTCCAATCGAGTTATCTATCCATCATCATGGTCTATTATGAATAATACTACACGGGAAATTGTGATTTTTAATCTCTGTCTACTGTTAATTTAGTTATTAACAAAGTCAATTATAATCATTCATTTTCATCATACATTAATTTATATTAATTTTTTTTAATTTATAGATAATGATAGTAAATATTCAAAAACACGATAGACTTGAGTGAGACTCCTGTCTGAATATTTTATAAATAGATTTGAAAAGTAATGACTTATAAATCAATTTATTTTTATTTAATATGTTGGATTCAGACCAAGCCATGTGTTCAAAAAGTTCGAGTAAAACGTACTTGTAAAAAGTGAATCGTGCTACAACCATTTAATAGTGTGAATTTGTTACATATGGAGAAGTTTGCATCAAGTTGTGCTAAATATGGTTCAGCCTACAGCAAACAGAGCATAGTCTACCTAAGCAAAAATGTTAACCATTTTTATCTATGAAGTATTATTTTCATATTCGATGTAATTTTACCGCAACAACTATATTTATCCTTGAGTCTCTGAGGTGAGTTTTTGAGATTCACAATGATAAAGAGCACTATTTTGCCAGAATTCTACTGTCAACAAATAAAAATCAGAGAGAAATACAAAAGCAAAGTGATATAAATTATCAAAGAGAATATGAGTAGTTGGATTTTGGGTCACGCAAGATTCGGCCCACGATGTAAATGCTCATAAATTGTCTATCGTGTAGCTACTAAATTAAATGCTACTCTTCTGGGATTTTTTCAATATTTCGGATAACCTTTGGAAAGAAAAATTCTTACCCAATGGTGGGGAGAGAACACATAAAAAATGATATTTTTAATCCACTCTTTTATAAGTTAGTTGGACCAAAGCTAACGTCGTAAAACGCCAATGCAACCACCTTCTTTCCTCCTTTCTTTTTTTTCTTTCTTTCTTCTTCTTCTTCTTCTTCTTCTTCTTCTTCCCATTTGATTTCAAAGCAAATCAACCATGTCTACCGTTGCATTAGAACCTCTCTTACACCTTTGCACCAGAAAACCTTCATTTCATACCCAAACACCAATCCTCCTGAGACCCTTCTTTCTTCCCACGCGCTCCTCCAATCTCAATGATGCATCCTTCATCTTCTGCCAACCTCGGAGGACTCTCTCTCCAGTGCCTGCGGCTTCCCTTACAGACACACCTACCCTTCAATGCCCTCAGACCACCACCAACACTTTTGCATTCAACCGAACCCAAATGGTCTCAACTTTTCCTTCTCACATATATGCTTAGATATATGTGATATGGTTGATAGATAATCATGTCTCTTGAGCAAGAACTCATAGGTTGATCTAAGGCCATGTGAATAAAATAACATATGTAGGAAAATGTCATCTCCTTAAATAGATCTTATTATCTGCTATAATTAATTTAAGCTCGTAGCCGGGGAATATCTTACGTTTCCCTGGAAAAAAAATATACATATATCTTTCATTGTTTGGTTACATGACAAAGTGCTGGGGAATACCCAAAAGGGAATGTTTTGATTTCTTATTATTTCAAGGAACATGTTTGGACGAAAGAAGTAGTTGGGTGTTATTTTTTTTGTTTTTAAGAATGAAAATGTTGAAACTTTTGAACCAGCTTCACCAATTTTTGTCATGGAATGCTTCGTTTTTTCTTGGGCGTGGGGTGGCGGTTTAAAAGGGAATCACCATGCATGCAAGACCAAAAGGGTGTTTCGATTTTAATTTTGCTTTGTTATGTCTTTGCGTAATTAAACTCGTTTTGGTGTTTGGCATTGATGGGGTTGTTTTCGATGGGATATTTTAGGTGACGGGAAAGATTTTTGTGAGATTAGATCGTGGAAAGGATATGAAGGATTGGGAGCTTATGGTGGGGTGCAGTCTACCCGGAAAATGGGTTCTTCACTGGGGAGTTACCTTTCTTGGTGATGCTGGAAGGTAAATCATGTTAAACAACATGTTTGAATTCTCTTTGATTCTGATTTTGATATTCCCTTTTCTATATAAATTGATATCATTGTAAATCTTAATATTACAATCCAACGAATCATATATATAATGATAACTTAAGCTTGATTCTCTAGGGAATGGGATCAACCTCCTCATGATATGATACCCCCTGGATCAGTTCCTGTAAAGGTAGGAAAAGGGCTTTGAGTTGTCACGATAAATATGGCACATGTTCACATTGCCATGCAGAAAGTTTAAGCTGGAAATGAATAATATTTCAGGATTATGCAGTAGAGACCCCTTTTAAGAAGTCATCCTTATATGCAGAAGGAGATACGCTTCATGAAGTCAGGATTGATATAAGAGCCAAAAATGGAATTTCAGCAATTCATTTTGTTCTCAAGGTTTATTTCTAACAATTACCACTTGAGAATGCTCGAAAAGAAGGCATTGATTCTAAGAATCCTTTGACTGAACATTGTTCTTCCCTTTTGTCGTTTCTCTCTGCTTCCCAATTCGGTGTTTCTTTTGTTGATTTAGGATAAGGAAGCTGGAGCTTGGTACAAAAACGAAACAAGAGATTTCGTGGTTTCTTTGGTGAACTACCTTTACGCGGATTCGGATGCTAGTAAAATTGAACCTAAAAGAGGCTTTGTTTTTTGGCCAGGTTTTCCAAATCATTAACACAGTAGTTTATTTGCTTTTGTAAAAATGTCTATCTTGTTTCTCATAATGTTCAAGGAGTGCCAAATAAATGTTAATCATGTGATACACAGTCAAAGATTTGTGATACTATTCCTTCTATCACAGGGAATTTGTGGCAAATATATAACATGTTCCCCAAATCAAAAGCTGGCGAAAATGAAAGCAGTGAATACAGAGTTTCAGAGCGAGAAAACAATCAACCCAAAGGTTTCTATGAGGAAGTGTATGTAACAAAGAAGGTTTTAGTTAATAACTCTATCAGTGTCTCCACCAAGAAATGCTTTGAATCTGGGTCAGTTAAGGACCTTTTATATTTTGAAACTGATCTACCTGGAGATGTTGTCATTCACTGGGGAGTTTGTACAGATGCTTCAAGAAGATGGGAAATCCCACCTCCTCCTTATCCACCAGGCACAGTAGCATTTAAAGACAAGGCTTTGAGAACTCAATTACGGGTACAGAACTCACAAATCTGACATTTTCTTCTCTTTTATATTCTGTAACTTGGATTAAGCAATTAAATCTCCTTCATGCTTAATAGCAACCAGGTCATGTGTAACTTCCTCCTATTTTATTTTACAAATATTGATGTTGTTATGTATTCTCCAAGAGCTTTTTACCTGCTCCCCTACTTCTCTCTTTTCGTTCTCCTATTTTGGTCAGGGTATAGAGGTACAATATTGTAGTTAATTGGTATCTTTGTGCTTTATGATGTAGATATCTCTAATATCAAACACTTATAACTTATTCTTCCTTTTTATGTAGCCAAGAGACGGTGGAAAAGTATATTCAGCAGAAATCGCTATAGAAGAAGGATTTACAGGATTTGTTTTTGTTCTTAAGCAAAATGAAAATTGGTTCAAGTACTTGGGAAATGACTTTTATGTTCCCCTTTCAATTTCTGGAAGCTTGCCTAGTACTGGCAACAAAGAGGATCTGAAAGAAGGTCTGCAGATTGAAGAGCCTAGTCAAGAGAATTATTTGTTTGCATTCACTGATACAATAGCCAATGAAATAAAAAATATAGTCAAAGGCAATTTCTATGAGAAGAATCAAAAGATAAAATCTAAAAAGGCGCAACAAAGCATTTTTGAAGAAATAGAAAGACTGGCTGCTGAAGCCTATAATATATTCAGAATCTCCATTCCAACTTTCTTTGAGCCAACTACTGCAAAACCTGAAGCAACGATTGTGGTGGAACCTGAGACAACTATTATGGTACCAGAGGCTTCAGTGGAATCAGAGACAATTTCCCTGGATCCAAAAATATGCTCAGGGACAGGCACAGGGTATGAAATATTATGCCAAGGGTTTAACTGGGAATCTCATCGATGTGGAAGATGGTACAAGGAGCTTAAAGAGATAGCTTCAGAATTAGCATCAATCGGTTTCACTGTGGTCTGGTTACCGCCACCTACAGAGTCTGTTTCACCTGAAGGATACATGCCAAAGGATTTATATAATTTAAATTCCAGGTACTTGCTTAGAAGCAGTCTAATTCTTTTACTGTAGTTGATTTGAATCTTCTCTGAATAATTTGATAGAAAGTTCAGTGTTAGGCAAATTACTTATTTTAGAGAATTCTTACATTCAACAGCATATGATATATTCTTGACTATCAAATATTATGATCACTCATTAACTCGAGTAGCGGGCAGCATATTTTTAGCTTCTGAATATATAATACACGGGGAAAAAAAGGTAATCTCAAAGAATAGATAACATTCATAATATTTTTTATGAAAAGGAATTTGCTCATGTGAATTGTTACAATTTTTCTTTTTGAAAATAAATATCAGATATGGAAACATAGATGAACTCAAAGATTTGGTGAAAAGTTTTCATGAAGTTGGGATCAAAGCTCTAGGAGATGCCGTTTTAAATCACCGCTGTGCTCATTATCAGAATCGAAATGGAGTTTGGAATGTATTTGGTGGCTGTCTCGACTGGGATGATCGTGCTATTGTTTCTGATGATCCACATTTTCAGGTTAGTTTGTGAAGGTTTTAGATAGTTTGTGAAGTTATCTACTTTTTCTACAACACAGTTAATTTTTAGGGTTCAAGTTCATCCCTTTCCATTATATTCCATTGATAACTTCAACACTATGTCCTTTCTAACATACAGGGTAGGGGCAACAAGAGTAGCGGAGATAATTTTCACGCTGCTCCAAACATTGATCATTCACAGGAGTTTGTGAGAAAAGATCTCAAAGAATGGTTATGCTGGTTGAGGTTGATATTCTTAGACTCAAATTTTCTTCAGCTTCTTTTTAGCAAAAAATTGTTGTCAGGAAAATGCATCCAAGCAGTTTGTGCCAAAATCATAGGTTCTAATTACTGAGACTAATGGTTTTGTTGCACAGATGGTTATGCTGGAGAGCTAAGGTAATCTGTCCAGGAGAATTAAGATTAAGACCATCTAAAAAATTTCTAAACTTTCATGTTTGAAACTTTATGTTTCAGACTTTATTTTAGTTGTCTTGTACATGACTTGGCAACCACCACATTGTGTCTAAGCTAACTACAAATAATTGTGTCTCATGTACAAAGTTTGTAAGTGTGTATTTGCATTTTGATGCTAGAACAAGTTATAGCTGATTGATAGCTAAGCTGGTTTATTATCATCACCTATTTGTTTAGTTGTCTTAGTCTCTGTCTTTGACATCTCCTGGCAGTACAGGATGCCAGTCCCTACTTTGTGTAGGCTATGGCTTATCTACTCAGTGGATACCAGTCAAAATTATCACGTGTTCTGTGCTAGGCATATATTATTTGTTAGAGACTTATTTTATGCAAAACCCTTGTAACTTGTTTTGCTATGGGGGAGGGAGCTGCCACTTTGTGCTTTATTGAAAACCTGACTGCACATAGAAATTTTCAATATTCACAAGGAACTCTCATGATCTCTAGAACTGTAGTGTCTTGTAGAATTGTTTACATCTCTAATCATGTTTGTAACCTTCAGGAAAGAAATTGGATATGATGGATGGAGGCTAGACTTTGTCAGAGGATTTTGGGGTGGTTATGTAAAGGACTACATAGAGGCAAGTGAACCTTATTTTTCTGTGGGAGAGTACTGGGATTCCCTCAGTTATACATATGGTGAAACTGATCATAATCAAGATGCTCATAGGCAGAGGATAGTTGACTGGATCAATGCCACTAATGGTACCTCTGGTGCATTTGATGTTACAACAAAAGGGATTCTTCACACTGTAAGCATTAACTCCAGTACATCTTTTCACAGCATTTGTTCAAATTTGCATATTCAAATGCACCTCTTGAGATTTATTTGTGGAGTTTGTCGACATTTTCTGGGGGAGTAAAAATAGTATACTAATGGGTTTCTTGAGATTTTTTTTTTTTTTAGTTTTGCACAGATAATTAATTTTAATTTTATGTCAAGTGTTAACTCTTCTAGGCAAATCAAGCCATACTCCTTGGTCATAAGCTGGTTGCTGCTATGCCTTAAATTTTCGTGATAGTTCAAATAAGAAAGAATCATATTGTGACTCAATCATAGGTATCAATTACCAAATAAAAAGGACACATACTACTCATACGTTACTCATGGATTTGTGTCCTTCACAGTGAGGATGCATATGAAGTAAGAAAATAAAGATATATTTACCCATGATTCAAAGTAGGTTAAATTTATGAGATTCTATAATTCAATTCAGGGTGAATGCACACCTACTGTCTCACTTTACAGTTTGCACATTTTCTCCCTTTAGTGGAGTCAGGTTTGGCGCTCATTTGCTGATAGAATATGGCTCTTCTAAAGCGAGCACGTGCACTTTAAGGAATAAAATGTTCGTGCAATTATTGATTAAGAAATAAACTTTGTTAATAATTGTAATAAAATCAAATGCATATATAACAAATCCCCTAAAACTTCTTCTTTATAGATACCAAATCCTCGCTGATAACACTAAATATCTATTTGCTATATCAGAAATATATGCGACTGTAATGATACAAACAACCTTAAATTAGCCTCTTAATTTGTTTTCCAACAGAAACCTGTATCTCTTGTAAGAAAACACATTTGCTAGCTATAACACGGTTGCTTTTCATTTAACCATGAAATGTTAAATTCTTTCTCGATATAGGCACTGGAAAAATGTGAATATGAGCGATTGTCAGATGAGAAGGGAAAGCCTCCAGGTGTAATTGGGTGGTGGCCTTCTCGTGCTGTTACCTTTATAGAGAATCATGACACTGGCTCCACTCAGGTTTGAACTTCGTCTTTCTACATTTATCATGATATATCTTAACATTTTAACTAAAGTTTAATTTCGTTGAAAAAATTTATCATCAACAATGTTTGCTTAACCTACTATTGAAAATAATGCCACCAGTATAATTACATATTTCAAATTGGACATTTTTCTTGGAATTCCTTCCAATTGTTTATTCAGATTTATAAACTAATTTAATATCTTCTCTTGCAGGGTCATTGGAGATTTCCCAGTGGAAAAGAAATGCAAGGATATGCTTACATTCTTACTCACCCGGGAACTCCATCAGTGTTTTATGACCACATTTTCTCTCACTACAAGGCTGAAATTACAAGTCTAATATCTCTCAGGAAGAGGAACAAGATCCACTGCAGGAGTACAGTAAGTATCACAATATTGTCCTGTGTACTAAATCTAGTATTGTGCAAACAATAACTGGGTGGAAGAATAAGAAGGAACTTTTTTTCTTATCATACAAAATAATTTTGGTTCTCAACATACACTAAGAGAGCGAAACCAATTACTCAAAAATCATAATACAAAATGACAAATGACGTTCCACAATGTGCATCTATTGTTTTGGCTTCAGTTTCTACTGGTGCAGATTAAAACACAAGAATCATGATTAGATTTTCGTGATGTTGGATATGGAAACTAGTAACCATATGCATGCTTATATTTTCATGATTGTCTTGTTAAAAATGTAATGATATTCTGGTCAAATTGATGTTTAGCATGTTTGGAACTCATTCTTTCATTAGATGCATGTTGAAGCTACTTTTCGGGTGTTTAGAAATCCATGGATAACTAAGAAATCATGTGTAAGATGTAGAACTATAAGGCTATAACTACTAGCTTCTTAAAATCACACCCGACACATAGAACAAACACACTATTACTTTCGATTTCTCATCAAAGTCCATATTTGACATGCATTATAGTATTCCATAATCGGTTCAAAATACCCATGCAATGTAATACAAAACACAAATGGTTATATCGTTGGAGTACTAACCTTAACACTTTCTTGCTCTAGGTTCAAATTAGCAAAGCAGAAAAGGATGTTTATGCAGCCATCATTGATGAAAAAGTTGCTATGAAGATCGGACCAGGACGTTTTGAACCACCAAGTGGCTCCCAGAAATGGTCATTAGCTATTGAGGGAAAAGACTATAAGATTTGGGAAGCATTATTACCATAATATAATCATTACTACCTGTACAGTTTCCACCATGCATATCCTGTTGTCCTACTCAAGAATAGGTTGGTGTTATGGCAGGCTTCAATTGAAGTGAGTTGTGCCAAGTTGTTGTTTAGTGTATATATAATATAGGCTTATAGGTATGGCAACAGTATTGAGAAAACTGCATAGGGTACATTTCAGCCAAATGCAGGCTCATGTGTTGGAATTATGGCATACAATGATACAAGTAAGATAGGGAAAAGGAGAAACAAAATTCGTTAGAAATATTTTGAGCTAAAAGAAAGGAATCTTATTTTTATTTATCAATAGTTTTTACATTTATAATAATTGAAAGACCATAAGATTACTATTATAATTGTCAACGGCCAAGTAAAAGTAGTAAATCTTATTTGTTTCTCTATTAAAAGTATTAGTTGACTTATTTATTCGATTACTATTAAATTATTTAGGAAACTAATGCAAAAATATAAATTCACATGCAATTACGCATAATACATAAATCAAAATTTTAATACTCTTCCTTGCATTAAGATTGCAAACTTCAATTCTTTTTATAAGAACTTGCACTTTTGTTAACAAAGTTTTCTATTTTACAAAGAGTAACAACTCTATTCCTTTACACTTATCCACGTAGCTTAATTTTTTTTTTATATAAAAAAGTCTAATTTATTTATATGATATTATTTTACGATATTAAGTAACTAAAAAGTTATTTGATTAAAAAAAATATGTGAATCAAGAATATCCATCAATAATAAAAGATTGACAAATAGAAGATGAGATAATTAGTCATTTCATTCATTTTCTTTCTAAAACTTAAAAAAAATTGAGAAAGTTCATAAAAATCAGTTTTTCTTTTAAAATATTATTTTGGACTCTTAAGTTTTGGTAATTTTTTACTTTGATTATATGTGTTTTAAAATTCTTAACCTAAACAAAATCATTTTACTTATTTAACCACTGTTTTGAAAATCAGGTAAGATGATTTAATAGATTAAACTGAGAATTAGACTAAAAACTAATGTATTATTTTTAAATAATTGGATTTTAATTAAATCGGAATAAAACTAATAAAATTGAGACAAAATTAATAAAATCAGAAAAATTGATGAAATTTTGAATTAAGTTGATTTTGGTAAAAAAAATTGGATCAAATTTTTTTAATATATTTTTTTTATAAAAGATATAATATATTTAAAAATTAATTTTAAATAATAATTATTTTATTATATTTTAATCTTATTTTAATGATTATATTTTTTAATATATTTTATATTTATAATTTTTATTATAATATGACAATAACCTTTGTTATTTTTTAGTTTTTTATAAAAATATTAATATTAATAAACTTATTATATTATAAAAAATATTATTTTATCAAATCGGAGGGAAATTATATTAAACCTGAATTCATCAATTCCATAACCCATCTAGTTTAAAAAACATCGGATTAAACTCATGGATCACCTCCATTCAACATACATTATCAATTTACATTGAATAGATTAACTTTGTATAAATTTTAACAAGGAATATTTTAATATAAATACAACAAAATGAGAAAGGGATAAAATAGGTTAGCAATATGTTTCACTTGTCATGTCTTAATTTGGAAAACTTAACTAGTCTTTTAGTTTATGTAATGTACGTAATAAATATTTATTTTATATAATTCAAATTCATCATAATAATATACTTTTGAATATATAAATTATATTATATTATAAAAAAATATGTTTAAGCATATGAAATTGTTTCTGTGGAATTTCGATCGATTTCGACTCCTAAGATATTTTGATCCTAATCAAAATTCTACCACGTAAGTTCTTTTTGCTTAGGCTAGCAAATTAATTTTCAATCGAAATGTGTATGAGGATCGAATTTTATCCGATTTCAAAGGTACTATTTTTGGTGTTTTGTATTAAGAATACTCGAAGTAAAGAAAACAGGAAATATATGGAATCGAAAGACAGTGTTGAAACTTAGACTACAAAGAAACGTAAACTACGAAAATCTTAAATTTTCTTTAAGTGTAAAAGACAGGGAATCGAAACAGCAACAATGTAAATACCGAGAAATCGAATTTGCAGGAAATGTAAAGGACAGTAAATCAAAGGTGCGATAAATGACTGGGAATCAAAAATTGCAAAAATGACCAAGGGATTTAAATACGGAAACTTAACTTGCATTAAATCGAAATGACGAAGAATCGAAAATACAGAAACATAAAATTGCTGAATATAAATTGCATCAAAATAAATTACCAAGGAAAATAAAGAAAGCGATAAAGGTACTCCGTGAGCATGAAAACCCAGATTGCCAGAAGCTTCATGGTGTTCGTCGTTTCTCCGGTAGACTTTTTCACTACTAATCCTGTTCTCTGCCAATTTCCACCCCCCTGTTCCTTCCTCCTTTGCTCTATTTATAGGGCATCATTCAAGCCTTCCAGGGGCAGTTAACAAAACTGCTACCACGTTCTACGTGCATGTTGCAGTTTATCTTCTACAGTTTCCCACGTTCTCACGATCTTCGACTTCTATTATGGTTTAGAAATTGCTTCCTATATGTGCGTTTGAATATTCTTCTTTTCACGGTTTGGCCAAAGTTTCGATGTCCACGCAGGTTGACTTTCTTCACTTTCGATTTTGTGTTTTCGAGAACTCCAAATTGCTTACGGTTCCTTTTTTTTAACCTTGATCTCATATAACTCTAATTTCTTAGTTTTTATTCGACAATAGGCATTTGGTTATCATTCACTCGATTCTCGATTGTGTTTCTCGATGTTATGTGCTACGTACTTCTAATTAGACATCGAATGATTTTTTTTTTATCTATCTTATCGATTTATCAATCAGTCACATTTCTTTCCTTCGTTTTCGATCACTTTTCTCGATTTGCCACTAACAAAATGCCCCATTGGAAGAATATGAATAGTTTCTATTTATATTCTTTCAATATTCCCGCCTTAGTATTTGGAGGCCCACAGAACTTAGGGTTTAGGGTTTCTGGGGTTCTAGGGTTAAAAGGCTTTTGGGCTTCTTTTTTGCTTTATGTCGCCGTCTCGTCAGTCTGCTGCCTTACGGTACAAGCCACATTAATTACCTTTCACCTCGTCGTTTCCAGCTCCCTAGGTGATTTTCCCCTTCATCTTTTCATTGATCTTTACTTTGGTTTTTTCGCGAACTTTTACCTCTTTGCAACTTCGTCTTCCTCCTTGAGCTCTTATCTTCGTCTTTGCTACCTCACCTTTTAACCTCTATCCTTCTGATTTCCTCAGCCTACTATAATGGCAACCTCATCTAAGTCTTCTGATTTTTTGGCTCCACCTCTTCCTTCGCTGACGGCTCCCCTTCTGGAGATCAATAACCAGAAGTTTGCTCCAGTCCCTCTGATGGAGGAGGCTTCTCAGAAAATCGCTGAGACGCAGGTACTCATCCCTTACACTGCTGATGATGTTAATTTTGCTTTTGGGGGTCCTATCCATTCTCATGGCGGATCTTCCCTTAACCTTTCCCCAAACAGCCCAGCTCTTGTCCACCAATCTCAAGTTAGGGTTGATTTTTTGACTCTTACTTCTAGAGTATATTGAACTGGCCCTCCTTCCAAAAATCCTTTATACATTAGATGGTTCGATAGAGTTAAGACTAAATTCGGGAATCATTGGAGAGCCGTGGGGATTTACGACTTCTTGCACTTGTCTCGATGTGACCTATCTCATTTGGATATGGCCATGTTTTTATCTGCTGTTCATTTATGGAATAAGGAAATACATGCTTTGGAATTACCTTGCGGTCCTCTTTCACCCACTTTATTCGAGGTTGCTGCTATCACTGGTTTAAAACCTTCGGGGGAAAGATATTTTAAGGGTGCATGTCCCTCGGATAGTTCTTTAAGGTCTAAAATCGATTGGGAATCGAAGGCCTACGGACATTTCCTCGAGAAGCATTTTGTCGATGACGAATCGGTCGTTATAACTGATGAAGAACACATAGTTTTTTTAGTGTACTGGTTATGTACCCATGTTTTCTGCCCTCGATCTATCCAAATTTCCTCCCACTTCTACGACCTTGCCTACCTTCTTCATATAGGTCAACCTAGAATAAGTTTAGCCAAATTTTTGTTAGCCCATGTATATACTACCTTTGATGAAGCCGTCGAGATTTTGAGTGTCTCCAAAGCTTCGGGAAATTTTTCTGGCCCTATTTAGTTTATACAACTGTGGCTTAACTCGATTTTTGAGACCATCCTTCCTCTGACTTCTACCATCCCCCAGAGTGTAAATATAGAAGGTGCTCGATTATCTTCTCGCCATCCTCACCACAAACCCGACGAAGCGACTTACTGTAGATATCTAAAATTTTTGTTAACTAGGCTTCGTTTCGATTCGACTTTGGCTCCTTTTGCTGTGCATCTTGGGCGAATCAGTGACCAAATTCGAGGGCCAACCTGGTTTACATCGAAATTTCCTGCCTTGACACCTGGGTTACAATCAGAGTTGGTCGATGTATGGAGTAATTATTTGACTCAAGACGTGTTAGTATCGGGTTTCCAGTCAAAGGATTTTAGGTTCATCTCTTACTACCCGCAACTTTTTTCGAGACAATTTGGTTTGAGCCAATCTTTACCTTTCTTCCCCCTCGATCCCTTCCCAAAGTCCAAGTTAAATGAGTCGACAATCGGACGGGAGTTGGCTAAATTACTACCACAAACCCCACTACATTTTTATCCCTATGCTTTTGAGTCAAATTATTTATCAACTGTGGGTTTCTCTCAATGGTGGGCCGATTGGTTCTCGAGTAACCATTCTGCTTTTGACGAGGTCCGACAAAAATTGACTGCTCATCCTTCTCTTGTATTGCAGGATAAATCGAAAGCGAAGAAAGGTACACACTTCCACTGTCTTCAAATATCTCAATTCGAGAATTTTTATCAAATATGTTACAACCCATCGAGACTAGAATCGACCTTCTACGATGCTGTTATCTCCTTATCTT